CTTTCTTTTTCTTGTGAATAAAACTGCAACTGATTTATTCACATTTATTTGTATCTTCCATTTTTTAAGCCAGGCTTCAAGTGTGTGTATGTGTATTTGTAATGTTTGTACTACGTGGTTTAAGGATGCATTTTTTGCAAGGATCGCCGTGTCATCAGTATACATGGCAAGAGTAGTGTATGGGGTATGCGGTATGTCGTTCGCATATAATAGAAAGTAAATAGGACCTGTCAGAGACCCCTGAGGGACCCGGCAAGTATGTTTCTCTGAGTAGAATATGTATTTTTTATAGCGAATGACAAAGTGCCTCTCATAGAGATAAGATTGACTGATGTTTATGATGTACCCCGGTAAACCCGGCGAAATAAGTTTGTAGAGTAAACCGTCTAACTAAACTCGATCGAATGGCTTCGATATATCGAGAAAAAGAGCTCCAGTGCTCTCTTTTTCTTTGAAACCTTCAGCAGTGAACTCTGTCACTCTGTACAGCTGGTGCACTGTGGAATGCTTTCTTCTAAATCCGCGTTGTTGCGGTATTAGGATCTTGTTAATACTGATGTGTTCCAGGATGCGGTCGTAAATGGCCGCTTTAGCTATTTTGCTTAATGTGGATAGCAAACTCACAGGTCTGTAGGAGATTGGGTCATTAGCTGGTTTAGATGGCTTCTGAATTGGCACAACCACGGCAGTTTTCCAGCTCTTTGGGAAGTACCCAAGTGTCAGGTTGATAATTCTACTAAATTTGAAGAGCATCACGTGACACATTTCACGTATCATTTCATTGCCCACTCTATCGATTCCAGGGCTTTTCTTGATTTTCCTTTTCTCAATATATCGAATTATTTCAGACGGCTTAGCTAGACGAATGTTGTCCGTGTGTGGCTGTGAAAAATATAAATTGTTCGTGTAACTAACTGTGCGTTTCTGTGTCTGGGTCTGAAATGTTGTTAATGCAAAACTGAGTAGCATAGTTATCAGCTAGTGACTCAGCTTTCTCAGTTTCTGTGTATGCGATCCCGTTTGGGTCGTTAAGGGGCGTAATATTAGTGTAGCACCTTTTAAATTTGGGAACTGCTTTCCAGATAGAATTATCATCATTTGAAAGGCTTTCCAAATGTCTAAACCACCAAATTCCAAATGTCTCGTTTTGTGCATGAAGGTAAGTGTATTGCCTGACTTTCTGTGTAAGTCATTCATAATTCTTTTATCCAATGGGCAGCGACTTCTCTGCCATCTTTTCCTTGCACGATTTCTCTTTTTAACTAATTTTCTGATTTCAGGATCTCTTGCTCTCTGTTCTAATGGGACTTCTTTGCTATTATTTTTGATGCATTTTGAGAGTATTGGTGAAATTGTCTACTACTGCGTCTAACTCATCCGCACTCTGTGCCGTTGGTAAAGTGTACTGTGTGTTGTTTAGAGCTTTGGTATAATTTACCCAGTTAGTAACAAGGGTTCTTTTGTGTGGTGTGCTATAACCACTGATGTTAACTTCCACAATTACGGGATTGTGATCAGATGACAATTCACATAAGCTCTCAGTTTCAGTTGGAGCATTGATATTGTTTAGTAGGAAGAAGTCAATGATGCTTGCATTATCAGGGTTATAGCGTGTTGGGTGCGTCGGAGCTGCAATTTTTAAGGCCTTATTGGCGAAATTGTTTACTATGTATCCGTATTTGCTGCATTTATTGAAGTTCTAGTTTCTATGTTGTGCATTAAAGTCTCCACCGATAATAATACGTGTGTTTAACTTGGATATAGCCTCTAAATCGGCAAAAACATTCTTTTGTGCTCTTGCTGCGGGTAGATAGATGGAGACGAAAGTGATTGTTCGTTGAGTGTGTGGTATGATTGTGATAGCTAGAGCCTCAATGGCAGAAAGCTGTGGTAATGTAGTTTCGAAGCGCGCGATGAAGCGCTTGATTAAAATCATAATTCAACCAGAAATTCTGCCAGGTCTCCTTGGTCTGTCAATTCTATAACTCTCAGAGTTGCAGATTCTGAGACTTTGCTGTGGGCCAAGCATGATTTCTTGTAGGAAAATAATATCTGTGGAGTACTCCTTTACAAAATCCCTAAGTTCATTAAATTTAGCGGATAAGCCATTTGCGTTCCATGTAACTATTGAGATATTTTCCACAGAATTAATCGCACTAATCATTACTTTCTCACAACATTTCAAAATATACAAAAAGGTCTATCAACATTATCAGTATGAGCTTTTAATTTTGGGACATATTTCTTAAATATCTGAGTCATCTTACTGATGTTATTATGTCCAAATATTCCATGAATTTCTTTTAAACATTTAAAAAATTCAAATATCTCTGAATTGCTAGAATTTTTAAGTTGGCATTAAAGAAGTTATCATTTTGTTTATTATTCACATTTGCATTTTTATTAATAAGCTGAGGAAGTTCAGCATTTGAGGGATTTTTAAGGTTTTTGTCCGCTACCTTATCATCAGTTTGTTCATGAGAGTTTGACCGCATTGCTGTGCGAAGCTAAGTCCAGGTTTCACTGTACTTTTCTTTTTGTTTGCAGGTTTATTTTTTGGGAATGCAGGGCACCCACGATAAGACGATGGGTGTTTTCCAGCGCAGTTTACTCACTCCGGTTCTTCTGTTCTGCCCTTAGTCGGGCATTCTGAGGATCTATGATTTTCCGCACACTTAACACAGCGCGGCTGAAAAAAAGCAATTTTCCGACTAGTGATGCCACTTTTGGCAGTTGTGGCACTGCGGGATTTGATTTTTTGAAACATGTTTTTCCACGGATACAATATAGAGCATTAAGTCCTTTAGATGGAAAATATCTTCTACATTAGCAATTTGCATCAGCGTAATAAGAAATAGAGGCATTGGCGCTCTTGTGCGATGTTTAGTGAGTTGTGCTACTTTCTGCACTGTAAATCCTCTATCTGATATTGTCTGGGCAATTTCTTGCTTATCGGAGTTCGAAGGTAGTCCTCTCAAAACTACCTTTATTGGGCGTTTATATTTTTCATTTATAATGTAGTGTTCCACAGCTTTTTCCTTGAAGAGGGTAGTTAAAGTCCTGTGATCATCAGGCGTCTGCGGGAATATTTTGAGAAACTCTCCGTTTATTTTACCTAGAAATTTTGCTTTAGTTTGAGCAGCAAGTTGCTTTAAAAATTCGCCAAATTTTAGCTGTCCAGGATTGACCATGATTGGGGGAACGTTAGAAATTTGGGGGCAGTAATATTATGCTGAATTTCCTCATCCTGAGGTGCATTGCCAGTACTATCAGAAATTTCTACATCATTTTCACTATCTTTTAAAACTGAAAATTTATTTTGCACATCAATAATATTTTTAGCTTTTTCAACTTTTAACTGTTTTGCCGTTTTATTCGGCATTCTAAATCCCTCACTATCAACTACATCAATAGAGCCTTCAACATTTGATTTACGTTTAACAGTTTTACTGTTAGAGTTAGCATTAACTTTCTCCTTATTCCTAGCAGAGATATTAAAGTTAAGAATGCCTGCCGTAATAGCCAAACCGCACTTACCTCTTAAAACATCCGCCTCGGCTTTGAGTTTCTTCATCAGCTTCAGCACGGGTTCCGAAATCGTATCCACATCCGTGACGGGCCTCTGTTGGTGGTAAGTCTTCAGAGCACTTTTAATTTGGTCAATTTGTATGTCTATAATTCGAAATTCTGGATCGCATAAATTCCAGGGGTAATTCCACGTCCAACACGGTAGAAGCAGTATTACTAGCCACTTCATTGCAGTCGTTATCCGTAGGGTTAGCATCCGCAGGAACGCTTTCGTCCGTGCAGTTATCAGAATCGCCGTTAGGCAAAAAAGCACTTCGGATGTCTCGCTCATAGCGAGTACCTTCATCCACCAGGGATCAGGACCGAAAGTATTCAGAATTTTCATGACAGGGAAAGGAAATTTCATTAGTGGGAGGAGCCAAACGATTTTGTGAAGGAAAGAATGTAACATGATGTGATGAGTAAAATAGTAATGAAACGTAAAGGTATTAGAAATTTGAAAGCATTTGGGAGAGCGAGATTGGAAAATTAATATCCTTAAGTATACAAGAAAAAAAATATTAATGATGTGAAAGTGTTCAAAAGAACCCAGTTGATTAAATGAAAAAGCTTTATGGATAATTTTTGAAGATCCCACATTAAAATGTAATTAAGTGACCGCCGTACGCTAAAAATATTCTTGTTTCCTTTCGAAATTTCATTCATATTCCCCGACGAGAAATTTCAGCGCTTTTTCAATTTGGCCAATATACACCAAACAGCACGATACATATCAAACAATGCTAAATTAACAAAATAATTAAAAGCACATATGAGATTTTTAAGAATCGAAAAATGAATTTTACAGATAGTGAAAAAAATAACTTAAATATTGAACTTATGGAGAAGTCGAGAAATTTTGTATTTGATAGTAAGTTTGAATAATTATTGGGTACGTGTCAGCTAAATGTCACTGTCGGCTTAGTGTCCTGTTGATTAAATGTGTTGACAGTTAAGTGTCCCGTAGTTAAATGACCTGACGGCTTAGTAACCTCTGGACTAAATGTCTTGACAGTTAAGTGTCCATCTCGTACCTAAATGTCCTGATGGCTAACTTTCTGTGTTCGGCCAAATGACGTGTCGGTTAAGTGTCCTTGTCGGCTAAATGCCCTGTCGGCTAAGTGTCCGTGTCGGTTAAATGTCCTGTCGGCTAAATGTCCTGTCGCCTAAATATCCCTGTCGGCTAAATGTCCTGTCGCCTAAATATCCCTGTCGGCTAAATGTCCTGTCGGCTAAGTGTCCATGTCGGCTAAGTGTGCCTGTCGGCTAAATGTCTTGTCGACTAACTGGTGTCGGTTAAGTATCTCGTCGGCTAAGTGTCCGCAACCGCTAATTTCTATAACATCATAAATGTCTGATTTTTTTTTTCGTGGTATTTCTGTTCAATGCACATTTCTCAAGAGAAATTTTAACATCCTTTTTTATTCTTACAGATTTCAGCATATTATTACCACGATTCTGTCCGAGTTCTTCTAAAAAGTTTAGCGTCTATTATTAAATCAACGCGGTTTCAGCGATTTGTGAAAGGAGAGCCTCGAGACTGTCTTCAAATCCCTCCAACACCTCTTCCTGGTGGTGAAACTTTAGCTGAATTTTTTAAACGAGTGAGTAAGATTATAGCATTAGATCTGGTAATTCTTAGCAAATGAATGTATAGTTACAGCTCCTTACTTAAATTTCATTGATGGCATTACTCACATATATGACTTCAGTGTAATTTCTCAAAATACCTTTTTTTTTCGGGGGGGGGAGAGTACACACAGAAATATCTGCGTAAGGTTAGGACTGCTGCTGTGGAGAAATTTTTAAGAGAAATTTTTTTGTGTTCACATTACATATTTGAAACTCCCCAAAATGCCTCTGAAGCCAGTCTGTTCGCCGGGATTTGAGATTGTATTATTAAATTATAGCAAAGCACACAAGGGCTATCTGCTTGAAGGGAGGGATGCCTTCGTGGAGGACTTTCTAAGGAAAACTGGCTCGTATACATGTTACACACGGGGAAAACCACGAAAATGCCCATGCAGCCCGCCCGTTCGCGGGATTCGAACCTCGGATCGAACTACCAGTGTTCAGCGTCTTTACCGCTCGGCCGATGGTGGGCCTCGCCGGGATTTGAACCCAAGTTGATCTTGAAAGCAACTACTGTAATATAAAGTATTCATAACTGCTTGACTATTCATCGTTATAGAATGTAATCACACAACATCTATTTTATTTTATATCTATTTCACCGTATTCGAATCTTTCTTTATTTTGGCAAAATGTTTCTCGAAATTTTAAACATATTCAGCGTTATTTAATTAATAATGTGATTGGTTTTAATCAACTAACCTATTTCGATTGTTTATCACAGCGATTATTATTTCACAAAAACTCCGTGTTGAACATCCGTTGAACAAAACGTTTCCTTTTGTGAATCGTATTATTATGATATAAATATCAATAATTTAAATCCTTTATGACGTTCATATAACTTAACGGAACGTTCGAAAAGAAAATGAAAACTTGCAATATCAATTATTATATCTTAGTAATATAATGAAAATAGAAAATACTTTTTTTCAGCACAAAATAACCTCAAAATAAGCAATCTCCGATGCAGAAAGCCATATAAATGAAAGATGGTAATCGTCGACCATCTTCAATCGTTGGCTCACCAATGGCCAAGCGGTAAAAGCCCCTGAGCACCGTTAGCTAAGCCGGGGTTCGAGTCCCGGTGAACAGGCTGATTGCATGGGCGTTTTTGTAGTTTTCCCAAGTGTAACGTGGATACGAGCTCGCTTTCCTTAAAAATTCATCCACGGGACATCCCATCCTTGCCGTGTAGTGCCAAAAGGCGGAGTAACAGAATAAATAAGTAACCATCATCCATTAACTTCTTTGCTTTAAATTTGAATACAATTGATTTCATATTCAAAGCAAAGAAGTTATTGTTTTGCTTTAAATTTATTTAAATTCCTGTACGCGTATTTACTCGGAAGTAAAACACTCTTCTTTTGCTATCATTTTTGTTCTAAAATTTGGTAGAGTCTTATAATCGGGTACTTTGCAAAATGAAGTTGCGGAATGCGAGGAAATAGTTTAATTATCATACTATAAAGTATAATTATACAATTTAAGTACTAAATTAACACCGAATGGGTTACCGTATATATGAATTGCATAATTATCACTTATTATAGTACCCATGTCTAATTGAACAATTACAGTTTAGACCTGCAACAACTGTACTGGTTAGTGGCAGACTCGGAAACAAATTGATAAAAATGTGTCATTAAATTTTCTTTTTACATTGTACAATAATGTTGTACTTAAGTAGGTTACTTGCCTTTCATTCTAATCAAATATATACGAATTCTAAGGAAAACCATTCTTTAATCAAATATTCATCTACATTTTTATTTCTTAAAATTTACCCTCAGTGTAAGTTTCGTTCAGTTTTCTTAACGATATGCATTGTTATCTTTCGCAGGGAATTATAAATGATGGAGTAACAGGCAAAATTCAGTTTGATGATTCCGAGGAGCTAATTAAAGGCGAACGAAAAAATTTGTCAATGGTTATTGTTGAATCCGCAATTTCTGGTTACAAAATAGTAAGTACTCTAAATAGTGATTATTTGTCCAAAAATATACTTGTTTGATACATTAAAAGTGAACATAAAAATGAACTAACGCAGCAATTTTATTTTCTGCAGTAGCAATTTTAATGGTCAAACTATCTTAGTATGATAATTGTTTCCAAACAGTGTTTTAAAATATACTTCTTGAGTAAGAGATTATTGGCAATGAATAAAATATAAACTTCTAATTTAATTTCTTGGAAAACGCAAAATGAAAATATTACCAGTACATAAAGGTCTTCTATTTTAATCTTTTTCCTCATTGTAAGTTTTTTTTTCTGTTTTTCAAAAAATATAATATACCATTTAATACTGAAAAAAAAATAGTTCTCTAAGGTTAATGAAACAGTGTAATTGAACGTTTACTTAACAAGCATTAGAAAATTTTGCCATGCGAGAAGCCATTAAAATGCAATATTTTTTCGTCATAAAAATTAACAAGCTAGAGCTTATATTTTATATTCCTTTTCCAATTGGATGCAAGAAAAAATATTTTGCCTTCTTTGTTCTTGAGTATTTCACTGTTTCACTACACTGCTATTTTCCAAACATTTTCTTAAATTATTTCTTTTCATAAACTTGAAATAAACAGCCATTAATTACATATTGGGCCATCTAGAATGTGTTCATTTCATAGGCTTATATTGTTTAAAAAACTATATATTTGAAATTTCTATATATTTATATGCATGTTACTATTACATATATATTTATATATACATGTTTTAAATAAATACATATCCATGCATTTATATACATATTACTAGTATATATATTTATATACATGTTTTATATACATATGTATCTATATACTTATATATACGTTTTATGTAAAGGCTACTACTACTTATATTTACACATATGGTGTTTATTCTTGTTACTACTTTTGAAATTTCTTGGTAAGAAAACTCTGAAGAGTATAACGATTTTAATAACAGTATCCAGCAGCTTTATAAATAACGGGCTTTCAAAAGATTGTGCTACTGTTCTTTTTTAGAATATTCCAAATTCTTCAAGATATTCTTAAAAATTTAAGCTTTCGATTTCGAGAATATTCGCCAGTGACTTCCAACTATCCTAATGTTCAAATTAAGAGAATTGTCACATTTGGTCAATTATTTCGAGAAGTGATGGAAAGATTTTAATGAAACTTGGTATGGACATACGTATATATAATTCGATTTATAATACAGGGTGATTATAATTAAAGTTGCGATTTCAAAACATCTAACTTTAGAATTACAGGTCACAAGGACTTGATATTTTACCCGAACAATCCTGAGGTAATGGAATTTTGTTTGGCGAAGGAAAAAAATAATTCCAAAATTTGTCGATAGAGGGCGCTGTCAGTGCTCACAGTGCTGTTGTGGATGCATAGCCGAAATGAAACAACAGTCTCCAATGATTTACGGCAATTTTATTAGCGAAAAGACAAGGATGCGTATTTACAGAGAAAACAGCAATAGTGACAGGAGATGCTTCACGAAACAAACACCTTACGGGTGATTAATACATAAATTGTTCGATTTTCTCTCCTCCTTGTTCCGCTGCTAATTGGAAGCGCAAAACTGCATGTTTCACAACATATAGGAGGTTATCTGTGCTGATGCTATGAATGTGGTGCATAATACTTGCCTTCACGTCGGCCAGATTAGCTATCTGCCCACTGTAAACAACATTTTTCAGATATCCCCAAAGCCAAAAGTCACACGGGTTTAAGTCGGGACAGCGTGGCAGCGTGGCAGCCACGCTGTTGGAAAAGGGCAGCTTATGATTCTATTACCTCGGAAATGAGCGATCAGCAGCAGCAATCTTCGGTATGACGATTAGCAATGTTCGGAGGAGCTCCATCTTTTATGGATATAGTGCGATCCAGACATTAACGTTGCTGAAGTGCCGGAAGGACATGGTTACGCAAAAGTGCTTCATACCGCTTGCCAGTAACTGCGCAGGTAACGGGACCCGCAGGTGTGATCTCCTCGAAGAAGAACGGATCGACGACAAACGCTGTCGTTATTCCGCACCACAAAGTGACCTTTTCAGAGTGAAATGGTAATGGCTGTAGCGGGACAGATTCTCGGTCTCCCATATCCTGCACTTTTATTTACAGAACTGCGTATTTACAGAACTTTGCAAATGGAACTGAACTTCGTCAGACCACAGAATGTTCCAAGCCCATTCATTATCCATTTCCATCCGGGCAAGAAATTATAGTGCAAACGATTCACGTGTTTCCAGGTCAGCAGGATTAAATTTATCTATCATTTTTCGCAGGCCATATATGATCATTAGGCCGAATTTTATGCCTTTTAATGTTCGGAACTTCCTGATAGCTTTAACTCACAGTCACCATTCTGATAGGAAAGCTTCACGAGAAGGGCACGAACCTTCTTCGTCAGAGTCATGATGAAGCACTTAGGCAAAATATTATGTGTGTCGTTAGTGCTCTGCATTATCTTAGCCATGTCTGCAGTGCGTATATTACATCTAGTAATTTGCATACCAACAGCAATGTGAGCCCGGACAGCGCCATCTATCGGTGTATTTTGAAACTTTTTTTTTTTCCTTTTCCAAACAAAATTCCATTGCCTCACGATTGTTATAGTAAAATATCAAGTCATTCTGACAAGTAGTTTTAAAGTTAGAGCGTTTTGAAATCGCAACTATAATTATAATCACCCTGTATATCATCTTCATCATATCATGTAAAATTTTGTATTATCAGTTTCATCATATAGTATAATATTGTATCTCACAGAACAGTCATAGTACACATGACACATCGAGCGTAAAGGTTCATTGGCGCAGGAAGGTTTAAAAAGACTGACGTTTCAAGATCGAAAACAAAAGGAAGCCAACAATGAGTATGCCTCCGCTCTTTTACAGCTCTCACAATGTAACATCATACTCCAACTATCGCTGTATGCTGCGATTAGCTTGCAATATGCAAGCTGCATCCGGCTTTCATAAAATGTGGTGCTTCTGTGAGCACTTCAAGTAGGTTGAATATTTCACAGTGAGTCCAGGAGGACAGCTTGAAGGTGTGGGTAACTTCATATTGTAAATAAAGGCAGTTTGCGGCTGCTTTCGTACTTTCAATTCAGTCTGTGCTCTCGTATTTTCAATTTGTTTAACATATTAAATATGTTCAAACAAATTTAAAATTAATATTTTGAATAAATATTTAGTTAATATTACTATTTTAAAACATGTAACAATTTAAGTACTTTTAAATTTAATATTTGAAAAATTATACTAACAAAAATTTAATATTTTTAAAATCATAAGAAGTACGTAGTTACAGAAAATTGACAAAAAAACGTGATACCCTTATTTGAATTACCATCTTGAATAAGAAGCATTTTTTTTTCAAGAACATTTTAAAGCAAATTTTAACTGAAGGAAAAAGTCTTTAATTATCGTCTGACGTGTCTCTTGATCCTGAATCTTAAGCAAAGCGCTATGGATCGAATTCAGTTCTTGAAAGGCTTTATCGCCTACAAAGAAATTTCTAAATGTGTCAATGCAGTAGATAGCATTTTGAAAACAAGGTGGAGTTATTTCTTAAATTTCTTCTTCATCCCCGCTTTACGTATTCCTCGACTAAAATATCTAATACCAGTAGTTTTCAATCTTCTTCGTCCATAATCACAGTTTCCTTATCATTTTTATTGTCAACACTTTCACTTGACTCTGAGTTCAAAAATCCCTCTGTAATGAAGCAATTTTTAATTGATTTTGATTCTATTTGAGTCCAGGCAAGTGAAATTATATTCATAGTTTTAAGAATATTTAAATTTTACTGCATATTTCCTGTAGTTATATTTTGATGAGCTATTTGAATCAACTTTTGCGTGTAGTCTGTTTCCGAATTCTTAATGACACTCAAATCATAAGATTGTACTACACTAGTGCAACTTGCTGTGAAGAAAACAAACTTTCACATTTTGCAAAAATCTGTTGTTTGAGGATAGGCGGTAAACTAATCCATAAAAAGTTAAATTTTGAGGTTTCCTATCCTCGTAGTTTTGTCTGTTTTATTGAGCCCATTCTGTAAAAATGTCCGTTGTCATCCATGCTTTCTTAGTTGCCTGCCGTCTGATGATGCCAAGATATGTAAAACTGATTTGCCTTTATTTTTAACATTTTCTTGTTTATAAGATAATTTTTACATGGATTTTAGATGGCATTGGTCTGTCTTGTGATTTTGGAACAACTCTCATACGGTTATTCATTTTTTTGTAATGATATATGCTTTACTAATTTTGCTACTATTGTCCCAAACCTTTATTGCAAATCGAATAGGGTATTTGAAATTGCTTAGCTTATGTATGGAGTTTGATAAATATTACCACTGAATTAAAGCAGCTTACAGCGCATATTTCGGGTTACGGCTAGTCAAGAATTTGATATATTCTTTTATTTAAATTGTTTATGTCTTGTGTGTGTAGGATGAAAAATATGACAGTCAGAATGAAGTTGAACTAAAACTAAATCATTCTGAATAGGGATTCCCTCTTGGGAATATCACATTCCTGCGCTTGCTTTTCTGCTGTCAACTCGCTATCTGTCTACAGCTCTTTCTGTTCTCGGGACAAATGTGATTAAGAACATGTAAGCATATTGCGGCCATTACGTTATGTAATGCATATTAAAAATTACTTCTCAAAAATTTTTAAAAAAATCTGAAAGGTTTCAGATCTTAAATTACATCTAAAGGAGCGTTTTTTTTTAACGTTTTGTGTGATACCTTTATTTAATAAATATCATGTTCTACGTACTCAAACCATAAAATTCAGTTCAACAGTAATATCACAAAATAATTTTAAAATGAGCATATCTTTAGAATTTTTGATACAGAGTCTCGTGCGCTGGAGATAAAAATGTTTTTTTTTTTTTTTTTTTTTTTTTTTTTTTTTTTTTTTTCGTACAGTTTTGCCATTGCTCGCTTTCAAATCATTTAGTTTGCTAAT